ACGTTCTGTAATACATGTAAGGAACTGTTAAGAGGCAGAAGTAAAGAAGGTGGTCCTGACAGTGCTCATTGTTCAGCAGAATCAGCAGAGCGTTACATCAGTAAGTGATGTGCTGACTGTCTGCTTTTGCCTGTAGGGGTGTATTTTAGGACTCATGTGTAAAAACACGTTCTTTGGCTGTTTATTGCTCGTCCATTTGCCAACAGTGTTACTTTAGTGAATGGATGTGCAGATAGTTCTGTAATGCAAGTAGGGAAGTATCTAGAAACACAGGCAAAGAAAAATGTTTCTAGGAAAAAAAGAAAACAATCTACTCCTTTAGCAGCTTTCAAATATATCTGATCACTTTCTTAAAAATAAGCATTTAATGCCCTTCCTTTCCCTCTTAGCAGTGCGTTAGCTGCACCCTACACATGTTGATATGGTATGTTTTTTCACTTTCATTCACTTATTTTTACGTTTGACTTCCTGTCTGACCTGTGGGTGTGAATTAATTTCCAAAGACTTGTGGATTTCCCAGATAATCATTCGGTGATTTCTAGTATAATTCGGGTCTGGCCCAAGACCATGATTTGTATGATTTCCATTCAGTGATCTTCCTTACTGTTGCACCCCACCAGCCCCCGGCCACGTACTACCTGATTCCTCTTTCCTGCTTTATTTTCTTCTTTTTTTTCCTGCTTATGACTATCTAACATAACTTTTAAGATATTCCTTAAATTGAACTATAATTGATTTACAATATTATATTAGTGTCAGGTGTACAACAGAGAGATTCAGTATTTTTAAAATTATACTCCATTGAAAGTTATTATAAAATAATGGCTATATTTCCCTGTGCTGTACGTATATCCAGGTTGCTTATTTATTTTATATGTAATAATTTGTATCTCTTAATCCTTTACCCCTGTCCTTCCCTCCCCCTCTTCCCTCTCCCCACTGGTAACCACTATATCTCTATATATTTTATTTATCTATTTTATTCATTCTCTCTCCCTCTGTTGTTACGCTTAAGGGTAGGGATTTTGTTGTTGTTGTTCACCAGTGTATCTCTGGTACCTAGAATAGAGCCTAACACATAGTAGGTGGCCAATGCATATCTATTGACTAGAAGAACAACTGAATCCCCAATCCTTATTGGGCATATCAAGAGACCTTGGCTCAGAGATGTTGTTCCACGCCCCTGAGGTCACATAGTAGGAATGGGGCAGCTCTGGGGTTGGCCTGGGCCCATGGCTTTATGTTATACCCAGTTAATGGGACTAGAGGTTGCTCCCAGTTCCTGCACACCTACTGTGTGCCAGGTCTCGCTGGATGGCCTTGGCTTGCGGCCATCACCCTCACAGTGAGACCACCCAGCCTTCACTGCATGTACCTTGCCCTAGGCCCACCCACCTCAAAGGATGCCCTTGACGGGCAGAGGTGCTGTCGGTCCTCTCGGGTGGTGTGTCCCCTCTTCCCTTCCCTGTCCCTCCACCCTGACCCCCCCATACCCATCTGGAGACTGACGCTCCGTGGCTGTGCTCAGTGGGTGTTTTCTGGGCAGACAGGCTCTTCCTCCCTTCTCAGACGGGTCTCCATGTCCCCATCTGCAGAGCGGGGACAGCACACCCACACCTCCTGCAGGCTGGGGAGGCTCTGCACATTGCATCGCAGGAACAGGGGAGAGCCCAGCCCCTGGGGTGAGCTTTCTCTGGAGAGGGGGGCTGGGCTGCGGCTGCCCTCCCACCTCAACTCAGGCTGGGGCCACCCCGCTCCCCACGTGCTGGGGGAAGAGTTTCCACCCAGAAATAGATTCCATCTTGTTTAAGTCACTCTTGTTCTGAATCTCTGTGACAACCACCAGCCTAATATTCTAACTTGTTCACTGATGGGCCTGACCGGGTTTACCTGGTGTTTGAGCCAATTGGAGTTGTATTTCCCTTTAATTTCAGTGTAAATCCCTTAAAAAGGGAAATTGGGGGTCTTGCCTTTTGGGGTACATAATAGTTTCCTATGGTTATTGTAACAAATTACTACAAATTCAATGGTTTAAAACAACGGAAATTAATTCTTTCATAGTTCTGGAGGTCAGAAGTTCAAAGTTGTTTCATGTGGCGGAAACTAAGGTGTTAGCGGGGCCACTCTCTCTCAGAGACTCTGGTGGGACAATCTGTTTTCTTGCCTTTTCCAGCTTCTAGAGCTGCTTTCCTTGGCTCATGGCTCCTTTTTGTATCTCCAAAACCACCAGTGTAGCATCTAGATTGGAGACACAGACTTGCACAGAGAAGAAGGCATGTGAAGACAGAAGCAGAGATTGGGGTGATGCAGCCACAAGCCAAGGAATGCCAGGGGCCCCCAGAAGCTCAAAGACGCAAGGAAGCATCCTCTCCTAGAGCCTCCAGGGGGAGCGTGGCCCTGCCCACACCTTGATTTCAGACTTTCCCCTCCACCATGTTAAATTATATATTCATGCAGTATTTAGAAAAAGTGAAAGAAAAAAATCCATGGTGAAAAAATTATCAAAAGTTTAAAGACAGTTGTGGTTGTTTGTTTTTCTTCCAGCTTTACTGACATATAATTGACCATTGAAATCGTATATATGTAAGGTGTACCAGCTGATAATCCAATGGACATGTCCATTGTGAAATATTCACCATAACCAAGCCAGTCAGCATATCCACCACCTCACAGTTACCATTTCCCTTTTAGTTTTTCTTTCCTGTGTTAACAACATCCAAGATCTACCCTCTTAGCCAGTTTCAAGTACACAATACAGTCTTGTCCGCTGTAGTCATACTGTGCTGATTTTCCAGAACTTACTCGTCTTGCGTAACTGAAACCTTTTATCGCTTGACCAACATCCATCCATGTTTTTCTCCTCCCCCCAGCCCCTGTCAACCACCTCTCTGCTTCTATGAGTTTGACTGCAAAGAGAGCAAGGGCAGAAGCGGGTGGGCCAAGGTGGAGACTATTGCTGTAATCCAGTGGGAAAATGATGATGGCTCAGACCAAGAGGTGAAAAGGGCTTAGATGCTGGACATGTTGTGAAGGTAGATCCAACCACAGTTACTAGCAGCTTGGACATATTTCCAGTTATCTAGGGTCTTTAATAAACCACCCCAAACTTAGTGGCATAAAATAACCACCTCGTTCTGCTTATGCATTCTATGGGACAGGGCATGGTCGGGACAGCTTTTCTGCTTCACAGAGTGTAGGACCTCGGATGGGAAGATCCAAAGGGCTGGAGGTGACTCTAACTGTCCTGAGGGCTGGAGTCATTGGAAGGTGTCTTCACTCATGTATCTGGCACCTGGGCTGGGGTTACTTGAAGTCTGGCCTCACTGGGACTGTCGAGGGGAGCACTTCCACATGGCTTGGGCTTCCTCACAACATGGCGGCCGGGGACACACCTCCTGAGAGCCAGGTGGGAGCTGCACGGCCGCTGTCACTTCCACCACATTTTATTGGTTGAAAGAGTCACTAAGGCCAGCCTAGACTTTAAGGGAGAATTAGACTCTACTTCTTGGTGGAGTGGCATGCTCACATGCCTAGGAGCATGTAGGACGTGAGACATTGTTGTGGCCATCTTTTGAAAACTTAATTTTCCATAGCTGTGGAAAGAGGGAGAAGGGAGGAGTCATGGATAAGTCTTGGACTGTTTGCCCCAAAGGCTGATGGTGGTCCTTTCTGAAAACAGGCAGGCTGCCTCATGGGCCTCAGTCTGGCCATTCCACTGCCTTCACGGGGTTCACAGGAAACTCCCACATACTTGCTGTATTGAAAGATGCAGCCACTCCTACTGCAGCCCTTTCCCCCTTGTCCACCCTTTCATTTCATGCTGTTTGGGGTGTGAGTCAAAACCTCATCCATGGGAGGGACAGATCACTCCCTCTCTCTTTAACATTCACTTTTCAAACATCTTCCAGTTGATGACAAGCTCAGCGTGAAAAATCTTCCTTTGCAAGTTCTGTGTGTATGACTATGGTTGGCAGCCTTCAAGTTGGCCCTAAATGATCCCTAGATCTTGATACTCATGCCCTCGCATAGTTTCCTCCTATAATAACTCAGAGCTGGTGATAAGTATAGTGGAGATCATCATTTGTGACTTGTGAGGCTACATCATTAAAGTCTCTGTGGCTTCCACCTTGGCCTCTGCCATGTTGTGAGGACACGCAAGCCCTTTGGAGAGTCTCATCTGGCAAGAAACTGAGGCCCCCTGCCAATAGCCATGTGAAGGTGCCATCACAGAAGCAGATCTTCCAGCCCCATCCCAGCTTTGACTGCAGCCCCACACAACATCTTGAATGCAACCACATGACAGCTCTCAAGGCAAAACCAACTGGCTAAGCTGCTTTTGAATTCCTTAACTTCAGAGACTGTGTGGTAATAATTGCTATTGTCATTTTGAGTAATGAAGTTTTGTGCCTAATGTGTGATGCAGCCATAGTTAACTGAGCCTAGCACTTCACTGTGGAATGTGGGAGTACTTAGCTCCTATCACTTTAACATCTTGTTGCAAATGTCACCACCTTCAGGAGACCTTCCCTGATCACCTCTCTACATTAGCCCCCATCCTGTCCCTTTATGCTGTTTTATTTTAAAATAATACTTAGTTACTATTGGAAATAAAATTTAAAAAACCCAAACCATATTGGTCATTTCTATATTCCTTTACAGGTTTATTGTCTCTCCTGCCCTGGTGGAATTTCCATGAAGGAAAGAGCTTATCTGTCTTTTTCACCCAGGGCTTGGTGCTTTGTAGGAACTCAGATGAAGGGGTTGTTGTCATTTTGACTTCTGTACGTGCATCCATACTGGGGAGAAAGTGTGTTTGTGTGTGTGTGGTCTGAGGGGTGTGTGTGTGGTCTGGAGTGTGTGTATGTGGTTTGGGGTGTGTGTGTGTGTGTCTGTGTGTGTGTGTGTGTGTCCGGGGTGTTACCCTCAAGATGGATTTGCATGTTCTTGACTTGTAAAGAAAAAAGGAAATGAGAGATTTCCAAGGCACCTGAGTAGGGGGCGCAAGAAACAGAAGCTCTCAAGCTTCGCCTGCTCCTTCTCAGGCTCCTGCGTTAGCTGTAGCCATGTGCGCCCTGTACACTAACTCTCGGTGTGGGGGCCTTCCAGGTATGGCGCTGGCCAGCCACAGGCTGGGGGCCAGGGGTGGGTCAGGACGCAGGTTACATCATCCCCCCCTTGGGGCTGGAGACCAGGGCATGAGGGACAGAGGAGGGGACGGGCTGCGCTCTCACTTGCCTTTCGTCTGGAAGGGTCCAGAGAGGAGGAGGAGGAGGATGATTATGAGAACACAGCACCACCCTACAGGGACCTTCCTCCCAAGCCAGGTAAGAGGACTTCTCAGAGGCTAGGTGAAGGGATTCGTGACCTGAGGGGTGGGGGCTGGTGGGGGAGCAGAGTCCTCGGGGGAGCTGGCCAGGCACTGCAGACGTACATGGTCAGCCTGCCCAAGCTAGGCACCGTGGTGGTAGGAGAATCCACGCCTCCACCTTGAGGTCTTTCAGGCTGGTCGGGGAGGCAGTTCTGGGCACAGTCTTGGGTGAGGTGGTGTAAGAGGTGAGGGACTCTGAGGGAAGGGCCCTTCACTGGTGGGAGGATTAGGGGTCAGATGAAGGGACATTGGAGTGGGACTCGAGGGATGGTAGGGTTTATTAGAAAGAGAAGCCCAGAAAAGAACTGACGGATGCAAAATACTCAAGACATGAAAGCTGGTATTTCAGAAGATGTGGGTGGACCATTGTCTCCCAAACCTCCTCGCATTCACACCCAGGGCCCAGGTTTGCCTTTGGACTTGAGTGGTCCCTGCCTGGCTGGGGATTCAACAAGAGCCTGATAAGTGTATATAAAAGTGGAAGCTTTGAGGTGTCCTTGAGTCAGCTCCCGCCGGGTCCCCTGAGTATCCTTGGACAGGGGCCATTCCATCTGGCTCCACATCTCTCACGTATGAGTCCAGATGGGGGTCAGCTTGGGAGGTCCCAGGGGACCATAGAGCTCAGTATGAGTTAGGAGGTGAACTGGACTCTGCTGTTTGATTGTCTGTCTCCAACTGCAACCTGGCCCCACACAACCCCCAAACCCAACTTCAAGACCCACCCTATCCCCATCTTTGTCAAATCTGGGCCCCTGGCATATCCCATGTCCATGTCCAAACGCATAACCATCACCAGGCCCCAACATAACTACAACCCAACCTCAGCCTCTTCCTGGATGCAGCTATAACCCCATTCTTCATCCCAAACTTACCCTGAATCACAGTGCTATTCCTACGTCCATCACTGTTGCTGATCCCTCTTCAACCCCATCCTCATCTCAGTTCAAACCCTCATTCCAACTGCAACGTTGACTCCATGACCCCATCCCCATACTCAAATTCACTTGTGTCTTTAATTTAGGGTGATCAATTGTCCCAGTTTGCCCAGGGATGAATGACTTCCAGTTTTAAAAGTAAGAAAGTCCTGAGTAATTCAGGATGGTTGGTCACTGTATCTTAACTCTGTCCTCATCTCCAAGCTCAATTCAGTCTCATGCCCAACCCTATCCCTAATCCTCCATTGTAATCCCAATCCTGTCTCCATCACTGCCTTCAGTCTCATTCCCATTCTCAAAGCAGCTCTAACTCTGGGCTTCCTTTCTGCAGTTTCGGTGGCTCCACCAAGGCCTCAAAGAGCAGGTGAGCTGGGCTGTGGGTACAGGAGATCCAGCGCTGGATTTGTCCTGCTCTGGGCCTGAACGATCATTCCTACCTCCTCAGGAAAGAAAATGGAGAACCCCCCACTTCCCTGCAAGCTTCCAATGAACACAGGTAAGGATTTAGGATTGGGACCTTCTTGGTCACCTGGCTGAAGCCCTGCTCTGCATGACTATTGTCTTTCCGACCCCTTCCAGGACAGAACCTCACCCCTGTCTCCCGCACAGCTCCTCAACCTGGTGAGAAGAGGGAATACCTGTTAAGAAGCCTGAGAGGGGACACCTGGCTTCTTCCCTCCAGTTCCCCAATTCTGCCCAGATGGCAAATCAGAGGGCATGGGGGAAGGGGCGCGTGGTTGTTGATCTTGAAACACAGAGTCTTTCAGTGACTTCTGAATAAACCTCTCTCACTTTTCTCCCAGGCGCTAATCTGGAGCATCCTCCATTCCAGCCGCCTACAACCAGTAAGTCCTCTAGATGTGCCTCTGTTTCCCCTCTCATGGTGGCCAGTGTGTTTGAGACCAGTAGCTCTGGAGTGAGACCCTGGGAGAGAAACATTTCCTTTCAGAAGCTCCTCCTTTCTGAGTCTAGACCAGATCCCCCGGGGACCCAGGGTGTCTACCAGGTACTCTTCAGGCCCCACTTCCCACATGCATCCGTTACAGGAAATGTTCTCTGCTCCGGATGCAAGGGTCCACAGCTTGGGCCCCCTGGGAGCAGCTTGGGCAGGGGTTGCTGGAAAGTAGAAGATAATGCAGCGTAAATGTTAAGGGCAGAGCTGGGTCGAGGTTGTGCTTGATGTCTCCAAGCCCTCAGTTTACTATTTTGCAAAATGGGAATATTTAAAGCTGTATTGTAAGGGTGAGAATCCAATAAGATAACGAGTGTAATGGAATGCTTAGCATGTAGTGTGTGTTCCATAAATGCTCTGGGCTTCCTCAGGGTTCGCACTCCCTGACATTCTCTTGATGACCCCATCTGCTTATACAGTCATGACCACAGACCTTTGTCTCCCTGCTCTTGGAGAAAAGTTCAAGGGTCCCTTCCTCACTATCTGAAGCACCAGTGTCAGTCTCTCTGTCCCCCCCACCACCCCGCAGCGACTCCAGTGCCCTGTCTCAGTCAGAAGTCCGGAGGTTCTAGGTTCTTCCAGGAGGAGAGACTGATGGTGTACCTGTGTCTGCTGGTGGTGGTGTCATTGCTCATGGGCTGCACTGGTCTGGTTGTGACCCTGATTAAGTGTGAGTAAGGCAAGGATGGGGCATGCAGAGAAATTGGAGAAGAGGTATGGGAGGACGTGGGCTCATGCTGGACTCCTTCTCATAGACCAGGAGGTGGTGGAAGAACTGAGGATGTTAACCTTACAGCAGATGGAATGGCAAGCAAACGGTGAGTGCTTTCAGTCATCCCTTCAAGCCAGGCACCAACATGATCCTCAAAGCCAACTTCAAGGTCAACCCCAGCCTGACCCCATCTTTGCCAGGCACTGTGCTAGATACCAGGGTCGGGGTGGGTGGGTGGGTAGGATCGTGACCACATCAGACATAGTCCCTGTCCCCGTGGCGTGCGTGCAACAGCACAGCTCTTGCTTCTCTCTTGTGTGTCTGCAGTCAGTGGTGGGTAGGTGGGTAGATGGGGGCTTTGGGTCTCTAACCCTCCAGCCCATCCCTGTTGACAGTGACTGGCATGGCAGGGCTGGCTGGCCTGAAGAAGGACATTGATCACGTAAGCGCCTACACCAACCAGTCCCTGCTGGAACTTCGGGGTTTATTAGGTGAGGAGGATTGAGGAACTTCCCTGAGAAGTTCCTCGGGGGGGGGGGCGGCGTGGCCGAGCTGGTACATTGCACAAATCCACGGGCGTGATTCCCAGGGCAGTCTATGTGAATGGTGCCCCCTGGAGTTGAGCAGAGCACAGCCTGAACAACTGTGCATGGTGCACCGTGTACATGACCCTGGTCCTGGGGCCACTGACAGAATCCTCTCCTGTCCCCAGATAGTACCAGCGTCACCTGCTCTGAGGGCTGGCTCCCTTTTCAGGGTAAGTGTTACTACTTCTCTCCAAGCACCAAGTCATGGGATGAAGCCCGGAAGTTCTGCCAGGAGAATTACTCTCACTTGGTCATCATCAGTAGCATTGCTGAGCAGGTGAGCCATTCCTTCCAAGCCCTTGAGATACAGCAGAGCAAACCTCCCTCTCTTCTGGGATTCATGCATCCTTCTCTGGCCTGGATGTAGAGAAGCTGGAATTGCTTTTGAGTCACTAAGACTTTGCATAGCAAGGTTAAGGGGCAATACTCTGCTTGAGTTTACATCCTAATTGTGTTTACTTATCCTCTCTGAGTCTCTGTTTTCTCTCTAACACAGAGATATAATAATGGCTATCTCTTAGGTGGCACTTTCTGCTCTCCAGATTGCATTCTAAACATTTTACATGTATTAACGTAATTCTAAGGACAGCCTTATAAATTAGTATGCGAGTCAGGAGAGGTTACGTTATGCTGAAGTAACAGACAGTCCCTATAGCTCAATGGTGAAAGTGAATGAGGCAAGTCATATATTGGCTCTTGAAGCTTCTACCTATGTGCACTCATATAGCAAGTCACATGGGCATGTCTATGCTCTAAGGTGGTAGGGAAATACAGTTTCAGCTGTGTGTAAATAGAAGGAGAATTGGAATATGTGTAAACAACTTTAATGACTTAATGCTACTATAGCCAGGTGGTAATAGCATTTATACACAGGACATATCATTACATACCAGTACTTCACAGATGAGGAAACTGTGGCATATTTCGCTTAAGCACCTTGCTTGTTACAACTGGTAACCGGGAGCTGGGATTTGAGCCCAGGAAGCTGGTTTCAAAGTCCATGCTTTTGACTGTCAACCTCATAGCACCGTATAATTAATGTGTGCATGGTTTACCTTTTCCCATCCTTTTACTTTTAACCTGTCTATGTCATTATTTAAAAAATAGATTTCTCATAGATAGCATATAGGTGGGTCTTTTTTATTTAATTTCAATCTGACAATATCTGGCTTTTAATTGGTGTTTTAAAACCATTTACATTTAATGTAATTATTGATTTGGTTAGATTCAGTCCTACCATCTTATTTTTTTCCTTTATGTCCCTTAAAAAATCTTTCTGTTTCATAGCATCGTTTGTATGAGTAGCTAATATAGCATAGATTGCATGAGAAAATAGCATGATTATTCCCACCACACTTGCTCAAGTGGTAGGAAGGTGTTGATCCTGCTCTGCACACCATAGGGACTGGGAGGGGTATCGGGTGTGGCATTCACAAGCCCTAAATGTGTGTGACAGAGCAGAGGTCATGGAGAACTGATGGCTGAATGAAGTCTGTACTTGCAGATCTTTGTGTCCAAGGCTCATGGCTCTCCGCGGGTACACTGGCTGGGGCTGAATGACAGAAAACTTGAAGGCGACTGGAGGTGGCTGGATGGGTCACCTATCACTTTGAGGCAAGTATCCACGTCTCTTCAGGTCTCTTCTCCTTGTGGGTCCTTGTGCAGTCCAAACCAGCAAATTCTCTAGAATCCCAGGCTGAGCTGGACAGGGGAAGCACAAGGGAGCTTTTTGTTTCTGATAGGGCTTCTGGACCCTGCACTTCTAATCTCCCTCCATTGCAACATAATAATCTTATAAGGAAGTACTATTATTACCTCCATTTTAAAGGTGAGGAAACTGAGGCACAGAGAGGGTAAGCAACCTTCCCAAGGTCAGATATCTAGCAAGTGGCAGTGCCACCAACCTGGCATCAAAGTCTGTGTTCTTAGCCATTATGCTTTACTTTCTCAAGGAGTGTATGTATTTGTATTTTATTTTAAAATCTATTTTGTCTGGTGTGAGTAATGCTACTCCAGCTTTCTTTTGGCTTCCGTTTGCATGGAATATTTTTTTCCATCCCCTCATTTTCAGCCTGCATGTGTCTCTAGCTCTGAATTGGGTCTCTTGTAGACAGCATATATGTGGGTCTTGTTTTTTATCCATTCAGCCGGTCTATGTCTTTTGGTTGGAGCATTTAATCCATTTACATTTAAGGTAATTATTGATATGTATGTTGTTATTGCCATTTTGTAATTGTTCTGGGCTTGTTTTGTAGGTCTTTTTTTCCTCTTTCTTCTTTTTGTTCTCTTTTCTTGTGGTTTGATGACTAGAGAAGTTCCTTTAATGTTTTTTGTAAAGCTGATTTGGTGGTGCTGAATTCTTTTAGCTTTTGTTTATCTGTGAAGCTTTTGATTTCTCCATCAAATCTGAACAAGAGCCCTACTGGATAGAGTATTCTTGGTTGTAAGTTTGTATTTGTATTTTAAATAAATATTAACAAATTGTCCTCCATACTGGTTATACCAATTTATTCTCTCACTAGCTTGACTATAATTTTTGCCCACACAGTCATCAAACTTTAGGAAATTTTGCTGCTGTAACTGCAGGTGAAAAATGGATCCCAATGCAGTATTAATTTGCATTTCTTTTATGACTGAGGCTGGGTGTCTTTTCATATGTTTAATAGCCACAGGTATTAACTTTTCTGTAAATTATCTATTCATATTTTGTGTTTTTTATATTGGGAATTCAGTGTTTTTCTTACTGAGTTCTAAGAGCTCTTCATGTATTAGAGATATCAGTGTTTTGTCTGGGGATTTTATTTTTTATTAAAGATTTCTGGAAGGAAGCACAGCTCTGTAGAAAGAGATGATGTGACATGGTGTGGCACAGCAGATGCTCAGCTCAGACCCCTTGATGGGGGCTGGTGCAGGCTTCTGCCAGCAGGGGGCATCGGCTGCTAATAGTTATGCTTCCTCCAGAGAGTTGACCTCAGCTGAATGGAAGCCTGCTCAACTAGGAGTTCACCCCGCTCCCACTGGGGTCATCCCACAGACATTGACTGGTGAAGAGAAACCTGGACCCCTTTTCTCAAATTGGGGTAACTCTGTCGTGTCTTCACATTCCAGAGCTCCCTGTGGGGTTAGGCTGAGACTAGACCAGGCAGAACCCACATCCTTGCTCAGTTCCCTACCCTGCCCCATCCTGTTTCTTTCACTCCCTCTCTCCTGAGAACAACCCTTAATAAATCCCATGCACTTGAACTGCCCAATCTGGCTCTGTTTTAAGGGAATATGACCTAAGACATTACAATACCTGGAAGGTTGGGAGGAACGCAGGTGTCATAGAAATATTCTTTGGAAGAGGAGGCAGACACAGACCAGATGCAGGAAACTGATTCAGGAGTGGGGAGACTTCCTGGTGAACAGGGAGGTGGGGCTGAGTTAGACAAGTTAGGGTGAAGAGGATAATACAGCCTCTTCAGCTAATTCTGAAAGGCTGAAGAAATTATTCTGATGGAAGAAAGAGCCCTGAACAATGAAGGCCTTTTTTTTTTCTTTTTCTGATATATATTTTTTAATTAGTAGACTTCATTCTTTTTTTCTTTTATTGTTTTTTATAAATATGCCCTCTTTAAAAAATTTTTTGGGGGGGAGGTAATTAGGTTTATTTGTTTGTTTGTTTGTTTATTTAAATGGAGGTACTGGAGATTGAACCCAGGACCTCGTGCATGCTAAGCATGTGCTCTACCACTGAGCTGTAATCTTTTATTGTCTTTTTATTGAAGTACAGTAGTATATAAGTAACAGGTGTACAATATAGTGAGTCACAATGATTAAAGGTTATAATCTGTTTATAGTTATTGTAAAATATTGGCTATATTCCCCATGTTGTACAATATATCCTTTTAGCTTATATTATACATAATAAATTGTACCTCTTAGTTCCCTACCCCTATATTGCCCCTCCCCCTTCCCTCTCCCCACTCATAACCACTAGTTTGTTCTCTGTATCTGTGAGTCTGCTTCTTCTTTGTTATATTCACTAGTTTGTTGCATTTTTTAGGTGCCACGTATAAGTGATATCATACAGTGTTTGTCTTTCTCTGACTTATTTCACTTAGCATAAAAACCTCCAAGTCTATCCATGTTGTTGCAAGTGGCAAAATTTCATTCTTTTTTATGGCTGAGAAGTTTATTTTTTAGAGCAGTGTTAGATTTATTTACAGAAAAATTGAGCAGAAGTTAAAGAGAAATATTTCCCATGTTCCTTCTCTTCTGCACACATTTTTTTCTATTGTTAACATCTTGCATGAGGGCGGTGCATTTGTTACACTTGACAAAATAATACAGAAATACTTATTAGGAACTAAAGTCCATACTTGACATTGGGGTTCACTCTTTGTGTTGTACGTTCTATAAGTTTTGACAAATGCACGATGTCATGCGTCCACCATCACAGTATCATATGGTAGATTCACTGCCCTGAAAACATCCCCTGTGCTCCACCTATTCATCCATCCCCACACCCACTTTTTCCTCCATCCAGCTTTTGGGACCCACAGGAACCCAACAACCTCCATAATGAGGACTGTGCCAGCATGAATGGAGGTGGCACCTGGAATGACCTCTCTTGCGACAAAACTACATATTGGATTTGTGAGCGGCAATGTTCCTGTTGAACATCAGAGCTGAGGTTGGGCGGGAGTCTGTACCTGGTGCCCCTCGGGTCTTGGACATGAGAACCTCCTCTCCGTCTGAGAACTGACACGGATGTGCCCAAGATGGAGCCAAAAGCCTGGATGGAGCAAGTTTCCTGGGGTGCAAGTCAGACCATTTCTAGGGTGAGGACTAGGGGGCTTGCTCAGTTGGATGGTGTCTTAGTCTGTTCAGGCTGCTGTAGCAGAATACTGTAGACTGGGTGGCTTTAACAGAAATTTATTTCTCAAAGTTCTGGAAGCTGGTAAGCCCAAGATCAAGGCTCAGGGAGATTCAGTGCTTAGTGACATCCTGCTTCCTGGTTCACAGATGCCGTCTTCTTGCTGTATCTTCACATGCTGGAAGGGATGAGAGCTCTGGAGGCGGGTCCCTTTTATAAAGACACTAATACCATTAATGAAGGCCCCACCCCCATGACCTAATCACCTCCCAAAGCCCCACCTCCTAATACCATCACATTGGGGATTGGGATATGAAGTGTATTTTGGTGGGGGGATACGCAACTCAATCCATAGCAGATGGTGAGTTGAAGGGACTCCATGTCTTAGTAATGGTCTCCCAGTTCTGGGCTCTGGAGGAAACTCACCAAGCCCCTGATCATGGCTCTTAGTAAATGATGCTGGCCCCGGGAGCTCCACGTCTGACACTGATTGAGCTGGAGCTGAAAATACCCTGCCTCCTCTGGGCATGATGCACTGGGACTGAGATCCCTACTGCCCACCTGATGTGCACAGCTTCTGCGAAACAGGTGGGGCAAAATTACTCTTGACAAGCAGCATTCTCAGTGTCCCTTGGCCAGATCCTCAGGATGACAATGGAGATATCTACCCACATGTGTCTTAAGGCTGTTTGTGGTCTGTACAACTCTTTGATGAAGTAATTCACTCTACTTATAAGTGGGTCTTCTTGGATTGTTAGCTCTTGCAATGTTAGAGCTTCTCAAAATGCCAGTTCATCGTGAGGTCCTCGCTGACTGTTAGTCTTCTGGGGCCACCATAATAAAGTGCCACAGACTGGCTTAAACAATGGAAATGTACTGTCTTGCAGTTTTGAAGGCTGGACGTCTGAGAAAGGGTGTTGGCATGGTTGGTTTCTGGTGAGCCCGCTCTCCTTGGCTTGTAGATGGCTGTCTTCTCTCTGTGTCCTCACAAGTTCTTCCTTTTGTAAGTGTCTGTGTCATAATCTTTCTCCTTTTAAGGAAATCAGTCATGTTGGATTTGAGCCCACCCTAAGGACTTCATTTTGATTTAATTACCTCTTTAAAGACCTTACCTCCAAATACTGCAACACTTTGAGGTGCTGGGTCTATGGACTTCAGCATGTGAGTTTTAGAGGTGGGTGCAATTCAGCCTGTAACATCCACTGAAAGCCAGAGTTACCCCTCCCAGCCCCTGTGCCGATCAAAAACATGCCCTAGATGGCTGGTACTACCCCCGGCTGAGCACAACTCAACACAGCAATCCCTTTGGATAATCCCTGAATTGTCTCCAGGGGTGGGTACAAACCAATCAATTTAGCATTCAACAAGCTAATAGTAGATTCATTCCTGTTTTGACTGAGAACAAGGCGAGGAGGCTCTGAGCAGGGGAAGCAGGGAGTTGGGTGGTATTGGTGTTCAATTCAATTCCTGATCCCCGTGTACTTGTCTCCTCCCACCTCCACACCTTCCCCCAACTCATCGGTATTGAAGCTAATTCTGCATACAGCATAGACTACAGAGTGGGTGGAGATCCTGTTCTAAGCCCTCCACCCAGGGGACCTTTGGCCCAAGCAACTGTTTATCTGGGGCCAGGGGAAGTTCCCCCATCTCAGAAGAGGAAACTCCCATTGTGTGTGTTGAGAAATGGAGAAGCAGAAGGGCTGTGGTCACATCTCTGAGACAGGCTGAGGGGCAGTGGTCCACAGTAGAGCCAGTCCAAACCTATCTGTCTTCTACATCTCTCATGACTGTCTAATTTCAGGTAGAGAGGAAAATGTGAAGAAGGTTCTCTTTACCACTTCGGGTCCAGGGGACCACAGGTTGGGCATTCTTGGTGGTTTTAAAAAAATGCCACAGTTTATCAAGCATATATTGTGCACTAGATGGATACAGCAGCTCTCATTTAATTTTCATGATGATTCTGTGAGGTTGGAATAATTATCGACCCCATTTTATAGCTGGGAAAACTGAGCCCCAGGGCGGTCTCATAGCTTGTCCATTGTGTTGAGTGGATAAGTAGGAGAGCTGGTTATTTGGATTCAGTCTGTGCCTCCAATGGTCGATCTCTCTCTGTAGCACCCGCTGCCTTTCAAGGGACTGTAAACCTGAATTATCCCTGAAAACTCTAACCCTGTAGCTCGTGCCTCAGCTGGCAGTTATGGGAAAGGAACAATATGGTGTGGAAGAAAGACATCCTGGGCTGAGACAGGAGACCAGGAGGTGGGTGCTGGATCCGTCCATAACGGTCTGTGTGGCTCTCCGGGGGCTACAATGATGCAGATGAGGGGTGATGGGGACCAGGGGGCGAGGCAGAAAGAATTCTGGATCTATTTTGAAGAGACAGCTAATGGGATTTGCTGCTGAATTAGATGTTCGGTGTAAGAGAAAGAGAAAATTAAAGAATGACTCCACGGTTTTCAGCTCAAGTAACAGGAAAGAAGGAGTTATGGTTACTAGAGATGGAGAATAGGAAAGCGCTTACACAAACAGCACACTTAAACTTAGGTTGTTCATGAACTCCTGCTGAGTTCTTAGGACTTCTCTTGAGTCAAGGATGGAATTTTGTGTGTAGCAGATGTGGTCATGCCCTACTTATATTCTTAAATTTTTTAATTTATTTTTTTATGTTTTAATTTTTTGGGGGTAGATAATTAAATTAATTAATTTATTTATATTTGTTTTTTAAAGGAGGTACTGGGGATTGAACCCAGGACCTCGATGCATGCTAAGCATGTGCTCCACCACTGAGCTATAGCTGCCCCCCACTTCTGCTTATATTCTTGACCCTCCTGCTTTCAGTGATTTCTGATGGCCAGCAGCTGCCACTGGAGTCCACCTGATCCGGCAGATGGCAGGTGAGAAGTGCTGGGGGGAAATGCTTCCTAGGACAGTCCTCAGCCAAAGCCGGTACTTGGTGTGTACATACCCCAGGTCCCTCACCCCTCAGGTGAGTGGACCCTGAGATGCATGTCCTGTGTGATTTCGCAGCGGTGTCTGCTGAGAGTAAACTCCCATTGCCTGCTCAAGAACACATCTTTGAACACATCTTGTGCTGGCTGCCTTTTTTCTCCTGCTGCACTTCTTTGCGACCCTGCTGGTGTTTCCTGGGATCGCCTCCAAGATAAACTCGAATTCTTGTCTCAGGGTTTGCTCCTGTGGGAGCCCAAACTAAGACACTATGGGACAGGAGAAGACGAGGTTGCAACACGATTCTGGTTGCCTGGGACTGAGGGGTTCCTGGGATGTAGGGCTTTCAGTGCCAAATCTGGGAAAGTCCTGGGCAAACTGGGATGAGTTGACCACTCTTATAGGAGGACAATGTGGTGTTAGGGAAGCCAAGAGAAGAGAATGCTTCAAGAAAGGAAAGGGGATAATGTATACATAGATAAAATCATCACATTGTACCTCTTAAGTATATACAATATTTATTTGTTAATTATATCTCAATAAAGCTGGAAAAATTAAAAATACTTGATTTAAAAAAAAACAGAAGAAAGGAGGACCAACAGAATGAAATGTGACCCCAAGTTCAACTTAGAAAAGCCAGCGGACTTAGCACTGAGGAAGCATTTGGAACACTGAGTCATTCTTGGGTGTGCTGGAGACAGAAATCCGACTGCAGCAGGCTGAGCAGTGAGGGGTGGGAGGGAGTGGGGACAGAAGAGTATAAACTTTTCTAGAATTTTGGCTGTGAAGAGAAAGAGAGAGAGAGAGAATGGTTGTTGAAGCAGGGAGGACTTTTTGGCTAGAAGACACCTGAACATGCTTCCTCCCTACTCTTTTAACCCCCTCCACCCATAGTAGATCTCCTGGGTCTCCCAGATTGATTTTTTTTTTCCTTCATGATTTTCCTTTTGTGGCATTTTGCTCTGTTTCTTGGGGTGTTTTCCCCACTAATTTGGCTCTTGATGGTGATCATCCTCTTCTTTAATTCACCCAGCAAAATTTATCTTTTTATTTATTCCCTCAAAAATATTGTTCCATAGAGCATTTTGGTACTATACCTGAATTTCCTTACATTCTTATTGCTATTATTCTTGTTTAAAGTTCTTCGTCTGCTCCAGCAGCTCTATTTTGCTGGATGACAGTTATACTGGATCATCCTCTTTTCAGCTGCTGCGACCTGTCATGGGCTGTCATTTTCTTTGGGGCTCAGATATGGGGGTTGAGAACTCTAAGCAGTGGCAATTTCCCAAGTGATGGAAGGAGATGGATTCTCCATTCCAAGGGGTCCATGTGTGTACTAATTAGGTGTGCAGAGGTGTCTCCTTGCTCCTCAGTTTCCTTGCTTTCTTCTAGATTCAGAAGCAGGGCTCATTTTGGAATTCTTGGGGGCCATAGAGATAAGAAACACACATGGCCGTGATGCTGACTTCATCCCAGGAGGTTCATGGACCCCTGTGGGGCAGACTCTTCTGAGGATGAACTGTGTCTGATTTTCACCCAGCGCACTCTTCATCTTATCTTAGAACTTTCCACCTGGTACATGGGGGAGAAATTTCAACCCCAGATTTCCCTTTGGGGGTTCCCCAAGAGATATCACTCTCATGCCCACTCAGCTGCCATGGGTCCCAGCAGACTTTTGGTTCAAAGAGGCAGCTACACAATGGTAGAGAGCAGAGAGGAACTGAGATGTGTGCAGGTGACCATTTTCCTAGAGTCTGCCATCTCTCTTTCTTTAGCACAGGGCCAGAAAACTGCAGCCTGGGGTGGTGGTGGTGTTAAATCCTGCCTGCAGCCTGGTTTTGTATGGCCAGTGAGATACGAATGGTTTTTACACTTCTAAAGTGATATACTCATATATCCCTTTACACATATATCACATACATATATTTTGCCTGTCTATCTATATACATCTCTCTCTCTCTCTCTCTCTATATATATATATGGCTTGAAAAGTCTAAAATATTTATTATATGGCCTTTTACAGGAAAAAATTTGCTCACAAATCTTTAGCATATGTAAATGCCACTGGAGAAGAATCAGGAGAAAGGATGTGAGAGAGGTGGGGGACTCAGAAGAGAGAGGAGATAATAAATGGAGAAAGGTCACCAAAGAGGCAGGTGGGGACAGGATCCAAAGCAAAGAAGGAGAGGTTAGCTTTTAAAGAAGAGGAGGAAACCCCTCTGCCGTTGAGGAAGAATGGAGGAGGAGACCCTAGGCATCAATGGGGGAAGCAAGGATGGGTATGGATGTGGGTAGACTGTAAGGGATGTCAGAAAGTTGAGGGAGTTTCTGTCAGCTGGTGTTTATTTTCTCTGTGAAGTAGGAGACAATGTCTTCTACCTTATCTAGAGAAAAGGGATGCAGACTGAGGAAAGAACGGAAAAACTGGAACTCCTCATGTGGGGAAGTTGACTAGGGATGGGAAGAGTGAATTCCAGGTAGCCTGGAAGGTCTTGTTTAGATCAGAAAGCATGCATTTGTAGTGGTGCCTCCCTGAGTGATTCTGGGATCTCACTGCCTTGATGGAGAGTGGAGATGAGACATAGTTGGTTCATAAGGAAGGATGCTTTGGGCTGCAAGTAACAGATTATTTGACACAAAGTGGTTTAACAAAAGGTTTTTGTTTTACATATGAAAAAATCCAAGGGTTGGTTCAGCAACACAATAATTTCTAAAAGCCCAGATTATTTCTATCTTTGCACTCTTCCATCCTTTCATCCATGATATCTTTTCTCCAAGCATCATATTATTATATGATAGCAGCTAAAACTAAGAAGTCATAGGCAGGCTCTCCTTGAACTTGTCTTGGGTTGAAAAGGAGAAAAAGTATGTTCCAGTAGGTGTTTCTTATATCTCAATGGCTAGAATTGGTCCAAATGCCTATCATAAACCTTCTAGCAAATAGGAATATTATCAGGGTTTC